GTGTTCATAAGAATATGAATAAAGCAACTGGAGGCTTCATTCATTCAAAAGTAGTCGACTGAAATATGTAAGGACTGTGTAAATGGTGTAAGAAGTTGGCAAAGTGGAAAAATGAAAGCATAGTACATATAACTATATTTAAGAAGAGATAAAAAGGGAGTAAGAAAAAGAAGACAAGAGGAAGAAAGGAAAGGAGAGAGGGGAGGAAGCATTCTAGAGAGCATGAAACCAAAGGAAGATAATGGCTTCCTAAAACATGATGTCAACAATATAAACAATGTTGGGACCTTTCATTGTCTTAATAGTGTACAGAAAGCTAATTCACCGAAGTATTAATGACTCATTGTGTAATTCTGTGATTTAATCTTTGTAAAAATATGGACTATAGTTATGTATGTGTATGGGTTAAGGAGTTGATATTAGAATTAATTCTATTAAATAAAGACCCAGTAGATGATGTGAAGTTGTCATAAATTTATATGTTCTTAATAATCTTTGTGAGACATGGAAAATGGAGAAATGGGGATAAAGGACAGCTAAGATTTCTCAAGTTATCTAAAAGGAAAAGGCTATATACTGATAATAATGGAAGACAAAAAATCTCAATCAAAAAATGTTAAACATAAAAGGACATTAGCAAGAAACATAGCAACAAAAGAGCAAATTATGCCAACCTTACCTGATTTCTGTAAACAAATAACTTTGTGAAGCTGGTTTGGTTGTATGGACAGATATACAACATATCTTAAATTCAGGCAAATAATTTAACAAAATTATTAAATATCCTTGTGAAGTATAAGGTTAACTGAGGTTGTCCAATTGGTTGGGTTCCTAGCTTTCCTAGAGTAATTCCAACTAACTACAGATGTCACCTGTGGGGAAAGAGGCTCATGGTTTGCCACGCTGAGGTGGTAACGGTAGCTTGAAATAAGTGACAAACGTTTGCAGGTGACAAAATATTAGACGTGGTATAGCTGAAATGGATAAGTATGATGATGTAAGATTAAGTCAGGTAGGCCAGCATTGTGGTATAGCAGGTAAACCAACCCCTCCCATGCCAACATACTATATGGGTGCTGATTCTTTCATGTTCCAACTGCTCCAATTCTGATGCAGCTCCCTGTTAATGGCCTGGGAAAAGCAGTGGAAGATGGCCCGAGTGTATGGATCTCTGCCATTCACATGGGAGACCCGGATGAAGCACCTGGCTCCTGGCTTCAGCCTCCTTGGCACTGGCCATTTAGACTATCTGGAGCGTGAACCATTGGCTTGGAGATTTCTTTCTGTCTCTCCCTCTCTCTCTGACTTTCAAAATAAATAATGAATAAATCTTTTAAAAAAAGATTAACTCACACTTCATCAGGAACATATAGAATTATATTAGATATTTGATAAAGAATAACAATTCAATAAACCAACAATTAATGTTTAATAAGTTTCAAGTCTTGCATTTAAGTAAAAATGAGCCAAAAATAAACAGAAAAGTAGCATGAATTTAAAGTGGAAAAAATGAAGTTTTAGTCAACTTCACACAATATCTGAATTATCTGAAATCCAAAATCGTTGAAATGCAAAGTTTTGTCCTAAGTTTCTCACCAAAATTCATTTGGAAGCAAAATTTGAACAGGACTAATTTAGTAGTATATCTGAACACTGTGACAGGCATGCTGCTTTACATAATATGGGGCATAAAGATTCTATCAAATTCCTAAAATCAGAGAAATTCCCGATTTTGAAACCATCTGACTTCAAGAGTTAGGGGAAGCAAAAAGGCTTTGAATTATCTTCAACAAAAATATGAATAAATTGCTTTTTAAAAAAATGACAAAGGAAATCTTGGTCAAGGTAATGCAAATGGAAGCATATTCTTGAATCAAATGAAAATTAAGTTACTGGAGCATATGTAGAATAATCTAGCACTATAATTAAGCAGGATGTTAAATTTATCTGCCTGGTATAAGTTAGTCAATAAATTGCTGTTGAATGAATGATGATAAAGCATCACTTTAAAAAAACAAATATGTCAATTAATCCAATCTCAAAGATCTCTTCTATTCTCAAACGATCTTTGTAGTTTTAATCTCAAACCCCCAGATTTTGTAGAAGTTCCTGAATTAATGTGCACCTGGCTGTCTCAGTGACTTTGCTCATGATACCTCACCTATACAAACACTCATTTTGCTAATTTCCACATGTTGAAATCCCACCCATTTTTTTTGAAAATAGAAGGACTATGTTTTTTAAGAAGCTTTCTTTAATTCCTTCAGAGTGAGTTAGTCTTTCTCTGTCCACTCACAAGTGCTCAGATCACAACACAGAATAAATATTTTGCCATGCTATTTCCCAAATTTTATTTTTTAAATATTTTTTATTGTTTTATTTGAAAGGCAGAGTTACAGAGAGAGGAGGAGAGATGGAGAGAGAAATCTTCCATCTGCTGGTTCACTCCCCAAAATGGCCACAACAGCCATTGGGCCAGGCCAAACCCAGACATCCAGAGCTTCTTCCAGGTCTTTCATGTGGGTGCAGGGACCCTAAGTACTTGGACAACTTCCACTGATTTCCCAGACCATTAGCAGGAGCTGGATCAGAACTGAAGCAGCCGGGACACGAACCAGAGCCCATAAGGGATGTTGGCATTGCAGAAGGAAGCTTAACCTACTACGCCACAATTCTAGCCCCCCGAACAATTTTTAGATCTAAGAACAAAGACTAGTTTATTCCAACCACTCCATATTACCTGATGCAATCATTTGTGCATATTTATAATCTGAAAATTACTGAATTGAATCAAAATTAGTAGAAATGATTGAAAGACTGAATGCTAAATTTGAATCATGATAAAGGAGGATACAAGGTATCAGCAAGAAAGCAATAACTGCATTTGCTGCCTACTATATCCTCATTATTAGCTCAAAACCCTGCACTTAATCAGGTTAAAATTACTGAACAAACTGGTTAGTGTCTAACCTCAGGGAGAGAAAACTAATTTTAAAACGTATGAGGTAAAAGTGCAGCATTGTAAGAGGAAGAGCTGTCACATGTCTGAGAAACAATACCACATAAAATAGGAATTTAAACAGAGACGTGGGGGTGGTGCTGTGGCGTAGCGGGAAAAGCCATCGTCTGCAATGCCAGCATCCCAAATGGGCACTGATTTGAGTCCTGGCTGTTCCACTTCCGATCCAGCTCTCTGCTATGGCCTCGAAAGCAGTACAAGATGGCCCAAGACCTTGGGCCCCTGCACCCACAAGGGAGACCCAGAAGAAGCTCCTGGCTCCTGGTTTCAGATCAGTGCAGCTCCTGTCATTGCAGCCAATTGGGAGTTGAACCAGTGGATGGAAGACCTCTCTCTCTGCCTCTCCCTCTCTCTCTGTGTAACTCTTTCAAATAAATAAATAAATCTTTAAAAAATAAGCAGATGTATGAATTTCATTATATTAGAACTTTCTATTAAGAACCACAGTGGGGGCTGGCACTGTGGCACAGCAGGTTAATGCCCTGGCCTGCAGTGCCAGCAGCCCATATGGGCACCAGTTCATGTCCCAGCTGCTCTACTTCCTATCCAGCTCTTGGCTATGGCCTGGGAAAGCAGCAGAGGATGGCCCAAGTCCTTGGGCCCCTGCACCTGCATGGGAGACCTGGAGGAGGCTCCTGGCTTCTGGCTTTAGATCGGCACAGCTCCAGCCATTGCAGCCAATTGGGGAGTGAACCATCAGATGGAAGACCTCTCTCTCTCTCTCTCTCTCTCTCTTTCTCTCTCTCTCTGCCTCTCCTTTCTCTGTGTAACTCTGACTCTCAGGTAGATTAATAAATCTTAAAAAAAAAAAAAAAACACAGTGATCTGAAAACAAAACAGGCTTCTTTATATATAAATTAGGTGGTTCTCGCTCCCCATGGTCCTAACAAATGGCAAATGATCTACTGAAAATTCCAGAAATACTATCTCAAATCAGATTTCCTAAACAGTTGAACTTAAGACATTTCTTAAATTATCCCCAATTCACAGAAGTAAAATGTTAAGCTTGAGATTTTCTGTGGTTTACACATCAAGCTAAAACTATATAATACTAAATATAACTTAGGTTAGCAATGTAAGATAAACACTAACTTCATCAACTATTTCATCCTCAAAAATTCATGTCTCAGACCTGAATGAATCTAAAGTCTTCTGAAGTGGAAGTGCATGAAGTTTACTTGTTTGTAAAAGCAGAATAACGACCACATTGACACCCAGTGACAGACAATCCCATACTGTGAATAGTATTAGGCTGTTGAACAAACACCACCCATTATTGCATCAGAAAATATTTTAAACAATTGTTTGTAGGAAATGATTATAGAAGTATGTTAATTATGTGATAAAACTAGAGTAATATCATCAAATTCCCAAAATATAAAAACATGATTCAGGCTTCCTCAGTGAGGAGAAAAATACATGCATATCCACCTGTGTGAGTGAATGGACAGACAGACAGACATCACTATCACAGGGTTCTAGAATGTTTTATGCTTTTAAAGATACTTTCACGCATTCAAGAAATTAGATCATATCACTGTTAAAAGCAGGGAACATAATTATGCCTAAAGTCACTGAGATTCTAAGGCATTGTCCCTAGATCTCATGGCTATTAAATGTTAGAGAAAAACTAGCTATAAATGCCCGTCTGTAGCTCCAGCCAGGTAAGTCCTCAGAATGCGGTTTCTCCAAAGTCAAAGACTAAAGCAATGTGTGTGCTTACCAAAGCATGGATCAAAATTGTCGTACGCTTTATGAATCACTGGAAACTAGACTTGAGTGAAACTGTACCTTGAAGATATATTATAAAACCAGATAATGACGGCTTAGGCACCCTACGGATTAAGAATGTGTCCTAGACAATAATAATCCCTTACTTAAGAATAATAAGGGTTTTAAAATTATTTGTGACTACTATTTCATTTCTTGCATTACATGACCCAAGCCGTCAGCTCTTTCCCAGCTCGAGAAATGTACAAACCTCATCTCCTTCTTGAGGTCGCATCAAGGAAACCCGGTCGTACTGTCGCCGCAACAAAGCCCAGAGTGCATCGAGACGGCCCTAGAGGGAAGAAAGAGGGTAAATTCCCAAATAGTCACCCTCTGTTTGCTGAATAAATGAAGTGGCAAAAGGAAGAAGGTAAAATGTAACTGTTTTCATTTCCATCATAAATTAACCAATGAAAACTTGGGTGGTTCTTATGACTGAGAAAGTATTCTGTTGTTGCCATACAAAATGGACATGGGCCACACAGCAGACTCACAGAAAGACAATCGCTTTAAGTAACACTCTGACCTCAGAATCAGCCCTTAGGCATTCGGATGTGGCTGAAAAGCCTATGACATGATTTCAGGCATGGAAAGCCAAGACACCGTGGCAAAAAAAAATCCTATATAAAGGATCTCTGTGAGTGAGACCTCAGTGGAAAGAAGGGGCCATCTATAAAGGATGTACCTTTCTCTGAAGGGAAGAGAGAACTTTCACTTTACTTATGGCCTTGTCTAAATACTGACAGAGTTCATGGTCACAAAATGCTTCCATAGCCTTAGCAGCTCATGGCAAGAGCCTCGGGTAATCACTGATGTCATAACTAAGAGTGTCAATTGTTAAATCAACAACAGGAATTATTGTACACTTACTCCTCATGTAGAACCTTTGTCCTTAGTGAGTTGTAGTATGAGAATTAACCACAAAACTTGTTCACTAACAATACTTTACATGTTGTGAGTGAGGGGAGGTACAAACTATTAAAATCTTTACTTACTATAAGTTGGTCTTCTGTATGCAAGGTTAATTAAAAATGAACCATAATGAAGAATGGGATGGGAGAGGGAGTAAGTGGGATGGGAGTGGGGGTGGGAGGCGGGTATGGGGGCAAGAACTGCTGTATTCCTGAAGTTGTACCTATGAAATTTGCATTCATTAAATAAAAACTTAAAAAAACTGGACATCTGCCACTTCATCTACCTTCATGCTCCTTCCAATAGCTGAGGCAAGGGAACACTAAAAGTTACAGTTTCTCGAAGAGGCTTAGCTGCACAAATTGAGGAAATACCTTAATCGGCGTGTACCACTTGGTCTGAGGGGGCTGGTATGTGGGTTTGGGTCGGGGTGGTCTAGGCCGCACGGGTTCCTCTGATTCTTCAGGAATTGTCACCACGGCATTTTTGGCTTTCTCTAGCCTTGCACCTTCCTCGGTAGATCCTTTGTCACCCCACCGCACCTGGAAACAAAGCAGCAACACTAATGTCAGAGGGTCCTGCGGGAACAAGCTCTCACTGGTTCACCCCGTCAGAATACAAAGAAAATGAGGCGGCATATCAACTGCTAATTCTTCTTCCTCTGCTATCTAACAGGTTTCTCACCAGTTCTTACTGCATTTACTGTCAAGAGCCTGGGGCTGCTGTTGTGGCACAGCGACTTAAGCTGCCGCCTGCAACACCCACATCCCATGTGAGCCGCCTGCAACGCCCACATCCCATGTGAGTGCTGGTTAGATTCTCTGCTGCTCCCTTTCTGATTCAGCTCCCTACTAATGTGTATGGGAAAGCAGCAGCAGATGTTCCAAGCAATTGGGCCCCTGCACCCACATGGGAGACCTGGATAGAGTTCCTCATTCCTGGCTTTGGCCTGGCTCAGCTCTGGCCAGTACAGCCATTTGGGAGAGTGAACCAGCAGATGGAAAATCTTTCTGTCCCTCTCTCTATATAATATTGCCTTTCAAATAAATAAATAAATTTTTTTTAAATTGAGCCTAGAAAGAAAGACTCTGCAAAAAGCTACAGTCAGTCAGGTAACATCTCTCCAAAGTTTCAAATAAGATATTCAGGCCGACAAGCCATATGGGCGCCAGTTCAAGTCCAGGCTACTCCACTTCCAATCCAGCCCTCTGATATGGCCTGGGATATCAGCAGAAGATGGCCCATGACCTTGGGCCCCTACACCCACGTGGGAGACCTGGAAGAAGCATCTGGCTCCTGGCTTTGGAATGGCTCAGCTCCGGCCATTGCGGCTAACTGAACCAGCAGGTGGAAGACCTCTCTCTCACTGCCTCTGCCTCTTAGTAACTCCACCTTCAAATAAATAAATCTTTTTTTTTTTTAATTAAGATAGTGATCTGTGGTTTACATAAGAAAAGCATTACAGCATGTAATTTGATTATCTCATATTGGGTACTTTCCCCTGCTAATTAACCATAATTATATGTATTGACGACTTTGGGGAAAATAGATGATAATTGCCATTTTTAAAATATTTATTGATTTATTTTCATCTACTTGAAATATGAGTGACAGAGAGGGAGAGAGAGAGAGAGAGATTTTCCATTTATTCCTGAAATGTCCCCAACAGCCAGGGCTGGCCAGGCAGAAGCCAGGAGGTCTGGACTCCATCTGAATTTCACACATGAATGGCAGGGGTCCAAGCACTTGAGCTGCCATTGGCTACCTTCCAAGATACATGAGCAAGAAACTGGATTAGAAGTAGAGCAGCAGGGACTTGAAATGAAGTTCTGATGTGGGATGCAGGCATCACAAGTAGGGGTTTAAGTTGCCTCACCACAATGCCCACTCAGATAATTGGTATTGATTTAGTGATTACTATGTGTCACTCTGATCTAATCAATACAAAACTGCAATGAAACAGATACCAAGTATTTTCATTTTAGCTAAGGAAACTTTGTCCCAAAGCCACATAGCTAGGAAATGCTTTGGTAGGAATTTGAACACAGGTGATCTGAAATGGGTTAATAAATTTCATGTCAATTTGAATTTTGTAAGTTATAAACAAGTGGCTACTTCCAAATTTCTTATCAATTTTGATTAAGGTAAAAAGTAGGGTTTAAGCATTATCCTTTGGAAGCAAAACAATTATATATGAATTTACTTTTAAAAGGTTTACTTGGGGAAGCAGTTTTTGATCACTGGCTCCTATGCTCATTTGAGTATGACAATTTGATGTCTGAATTTTTTCACTGAGGAAGACAAACTAGAAAAGAGAAAATCCAGGAACACCAGGGAACTGCACAAATTTTAGGGAATTTCCTTCTCAGAAAACTCTTGACATTAAGAAACTACAAGATCAAATTATTACTTTTTGTGTTTTTCAATTAGCAGAAATTAAGGTCTAAATCTGGCCCAACTATGCGTGTGGCCCCCAGATAAGGGCTTTGCATACCCAGTAGCACATGGGAAGTCTGTAAAATCCAAGGACACTACCAAAGAGGACAAAGATAAGACAAGTGAAGCTCTAAAAAGAAATACGAAGGCCTATTCAAACCACACTCCAACACATCACAGTTCAGTAATTTCCAAAGGAAAAAAAAATTAAAGACTTTTTAAAGCATTTTAATGATCTGAATTAGTGGGAAGGGAAAGAGATGATTACTGTTCATTGAAAGAACTATTCACAGCTTTTTGATAAGGCTTACTTAGATGTTTTTACCTTTTTTTACTACAATTTTAGAATGGGCTTTCAATTTCAAGTGGACCCTGTTGAGTCATTAAAATGTATCTGTATCTTTCCGTGTGATCAATGGTACTAGAATGTTCTTTATGAGGTTGTTAAAATTGTTTTAAACACCATTAAACCTTTAGAGCTAGATAGCAGGCTTTCTTTCCAGAAAAATGACCTTCTCCTTCAAATCATGGTATCTTCACTAGATAAACTAACACTTCCAACATCTTTAGATATAGCTAAATTGGACTGAAAACTGTAAAATCAGGATACATACCCTTGTAGTGGTAAAGTCTCAATTTTATGGGAAAGAGCAACAAAAAAATAAAAAGACAAACACAATTAAGTACACATATGAATCCCACAACTCAGAGAAGAAATTCAGGATGCAAATAGAAATAGATAAAATTTAGAGCCATTCAAAAATTGATGTAGGCAAGGTGGTGGCTAGCAAAGAGAAGCTGCAACTGTCAACCTCCCCCTACTGCCCAGCCTGGGCTGCAGCCTCACCTGTACCACCCCAATCCCCTTTCCATACAGCAGAAACCACAGCTTCCAGGAAGCTGTGCTGGCCAAAATAACCAACCTGACTGCCCACTTTGTCCCCACATTGGCATTTAGCTCATTACAATGTCATTGTAATAAAATTACTATGGCTGATATTTCTATTCCCCTGATACACCAGTCACCATGACAATTTCAACATTTCCAGGAAAGGGCAAAGAAGTGGGTGGTACTCAAACCTTGCCCCAACCTCTGCCCCCCCCCATAAATATTCAATTAAACCCCCTGCCCCAAACACCGCCCTCTATGCTTCCAAATCATATAGCGGGTAACTCCGAAACTCACTGAATGCTTGCTCTTGAATATTCCTGGACTCCCTCTTTGGCCTGTATTTGGACTTTGCATACAAATCCATCTTGTTTCTCTGCTGATCTTTACCTACATCTTATCCTCAAATCTGTTCCTGCATCAGAGACAATAACCTGACCCCGGGCACCCCATGACAAAATGACACATTTTAACATATACAGCTCTCTAGTCTATCCTGTACACTTCACACCACAGTATAAGGTAATCGTATTTTCCTCAAGTTTCACCGGCATTGTTCTCAGATAAAGAATATGAAGCTAGTTGAACTACAGTTCTGACCCAGTGTGGCATTTCAAGGGCCTCTGCAATGAAGGGACTATACTTATGAAATATAGTTGTTGGTGTCTAAAGGAGAGTAATTAAACACAATCATTAGTGTTCACAAAGAAACTGTTGCACCATCATCACCACCACCACAAACAATTCTCAATCTTAAAGTCTTATACTAGGAAATACTTTGTAGAAATTCCCGAAAACTCTTAGAAGTAATTCAATACATATACACATGTGAAGGCAAATTTTAATTTTTTAGTTTGATCACATTGAGATAATTGAAAGAATCAATGGGTAACAAGAATAGATTGCTTAAAGCAACCTATTAGCATATCTAGCTTTTCTACTATAAAAATATAGTTCAAACTTGATAGCTAAATTATTTGAAATCTGCTTGGATTTCATTATCAACAATGAAACTCCATAATTTCCAGAGCACGTTTGGAGGACTAGGTTACATCACAGAGGAGCAATTTCAGATTTGAGAAAAGAAACAAAAACATGTTTAAGAAGGACTGGCAGAAACACAGTTAAACTCTAGGTACTGTGGATCAGCTGTGCTAACAGCTGTTATTAACATTAGCTCCATTTCAGCTTTCTGCAAATTCCCATTGCCTCAGTATTTAAATATTTAACTTAAATGAAAAGTAAGTTTTTTAAAAACCTAAGTGAAATCCTTACACTGGATTCAAACAAACCTATTTATGAAGATATTTTCTGTAATCTGGATGTGATCATAATTTCTATAATTTTAACTTTCTACAGTTTAAGATACTTTTAATTTTTACTTCAATTTATTTTGAAAGCAGAGAGAGATTTTCCAGCCCCTGGTTCACTACGCAAATGCCTACCACAAGCCCACATTGGGGCAATCTGAAGCCTGAAACCAAGAACTCCATCTGGGTCAGTTGTGATGGCAGGGACACAAGGTCTCGGGCCATCACCTGCTGCTTCCTAGGGCTAAGCTTAGCAGAAAATGGAATCAGGAATGGATCTGAACCCCAGCACTTTGATAAGGCAGGCAACTGTCCCAAGTGGCATTGTAAACACTGTGACTAACACCTGCCCCTAAGGTATTTTTTAAATGGGAAGTATTTTCCTGGTTTAAATAGCTATGCTTTTAAAACAGATTATTTTCTATTTTCCCTCTTCAAATTTTAAGTTCCTACTTAAGAAAGTTAATAATGCTTATTCTCAGTTCAATTTTATTGTATACTGCCATGTATTGAGTTTCTCCTTTGCAATGTCCTCATTTGCTTTCCGTTTTTCTCTCACTTTATTCTCAGTCGTTCCATGTCATTAACAGAATACTCCACATGATATAGCCAAAATTATTCAAAGGTAAAACAGACCCATGTTTACTAAAATGTAAGCCACATTCTTTTCACAAAGTTTCCTTAACTGAAACAGATAAGTGGGTGATATAGTCTCACACAGTAAGAGTCAACAATTCTTCATGCCCTTGGCTCTTGCGAGCATAAACCAATAACGTTCCATTCAGTGATTCACACACATTCTTTTCTTTAGAAAGAGACATCAATGTTGGGAATCCCGGAATATCAGACTAACAAAAACAGGACATTAGTCCTACTGGCTTCAGCAAGAGCACTGTTGATTCAAAGTAAGGCTCACCTACTAATATATCCTAACCTTTTTGTCATGTGATGTTTTACATATGTGAATTTCAAAATGAAATTAAGTTTATTATTTTGCATATAAAGCAGTACATGCTCAATGTCCAATAAATCAGAAAATAATAAGAAAATACATATCACACATTGAAAGTTACTTCATCCGTAAAACTTATTAACAACTTTTTTTTTTTTGACAGGCAGAGTGGATAGAGAGAGAGAGAGAGAGAGAGAGAGAGAGAGAGAGAGAAAGGTCTTCCTTTTGCTGTTGGTTCACCCTCCAATGGCCGCTGCGGCCAGCGCACCGCGCTGATCCGAAGCCAGGAGCCAGGTGCTTCTCCTGGTCTCCCATGGGGTGCAGGGCCCAAGCACTTGGGCCATTCTCCACTGCACTCCCGGGCCACAGCAGAGAGCTGGCCTGGAAGAGGGGCAACCGGGACAGAATCCGGCTCCCCGACCGGGACTAGAACCCGGTGTGCCGGCGCCACAGGCGGAGAATTAGCCTATTGAGCCATGGCACCAGCCATTAACAAATTTTGGTATGTTCCATTAAACCTTTTCCCTCTTACATATGTCTTTTAACATACACATTTTGGAATGAGGCTAAATATACTAAAAATAGGTTGTGATGGATCACATTTGGCTATTTATATGTTATAATTTTATTTACAAGCTTTTTTTTTTTTTTTAATATACACATACAAACATTCAATTCTTTCCTTTCTCACTCTTCCAAGTCTAGGATCCATAACAAAGGCAAGAGGGAGGAAAATAACCCAGCTTGTGTTCCACACAATAAGCAGCCTAATCATCTTCTCTTGAACCAAGGAGATTTCCAACTACCCACATGCAAAGACGTGTGCAATACTTCTCCAAAGGACCAACAGCTTCTAGCATTCGCCTTTACCCACGGTTCACAGGCAAGGAAGCACCTACGCAGAAGGTATTTCAGCAACGGAGTGGTAAGTTCTTGGAGAAAAATGTACACTGTGTCAAGATCTAGCATGACAGAGTGAAAATCACTGTCAAATTCCTGGAGTAAACACTTTGGTGATGACAACTATGTTAAGGACGCCTGGGCCTTTTTTTGCAGCATGCTGACATTTATTCTGAAAAGGGGACACTCTCCTTGGGAGTCTGAATTTTACTGAAACGTATAAAAAAAAGAAAATTGCAACTTGTAGGTTGTTAATTAGCTTTTTGACTTTTTTCTGGCAGCAAGGAGACAAGTAGTTATGACAATAGAAGACATATAATGATGACAAAACATAAAAATAAATCTTTTTACCAAAAAATAATATTAAAGGATAACTAACAAAGAGACACACCAGGATCTCTGTTTCACAATAAAGTCAATGTATAAATGAGAAAAATTTTTGAATTGCTCCAGGGATGGGAGACTGGTCTGTCAACACTGCTGTTAAGTGCTCAGAACTGGCGATAATTACTTATTACTAATTAATCCATCACTTTGAAAAATATTTCATGGCGACAAGAACATTTCATTTGACTTTTAAGATATAATATTAAAGTTCAAATTTAATCCACACTTTGAGCCATTATGAAAGTTCAATGCATTCTATAAATGACATGTAATATTAATTATGATAGTTCATAAAGGGTAACTAAAGGCTATTATAAAGCCTTAAATATATTCCTCTATATTTGTGATAAGGTCATTTCTACGCTATTGAGCATTTTAACATTTTCTCCTCAAATGGTACATAACTTCTGGATCACTTCATAGAAGAACACTGTTGCAAGTTTAAATAGCTGACTTATTCAAAAGTGATGTTCTATGTAGTAATTTTTTCCAAAATAGTGAGAAAAATCCTGGTTTTGTCTTATCCTTTAAAATTCAGAAATCTCATCAATGCAATGCTTTGACAAATAAAACCAGTTCTTTTGAACAGTTCAGAAATGGCTAAGATGATTCCATTAAAAAAAAATACCCAAAAAAGACCCAGTGTTAAGTAAAAATGAATGATATTAGGATACTGAATTGTGAGCAGTACAGTTTCCTCAGTTTAGCAGTGCCAGAAATGCACAATCCAGATCAGCAGCTTCTATTTTTTAAGATACCAACCTCCATTCTTTTAATTCCTCCAACCCCTCGACCACCATAATAAGAGGCATCCACTGTTGGCCATTTCTTGGTAGGTAGAGGCTCCTGTTCCTCCTACAAAGGTGCAATTTTTTAAAAGGACTTAATTAGTTTATTAAAATAAAAGTTGTATCTGTCTCACATTTAATATTTTTCTGAAAAATGTCATTGTAATGTTATGGAAGAAAAATAGAAATGAGACATAGGACATGGGATGTCTTAAGTGGAGATACACAAGATAAGAGCAGTCTTTCCTTTCCCCCCGTTTTAGGGAGAGGGATCTCCCTTTTTTTTTAATTATTTATTTATTTATTTAGTTATTTTTGACAGGCAGATTGGACAGTAAGACAGAGAGAGACAGAGAGAAAGGTCTTCCTTTACCATTGGTTCACCCTCCAATGGCCGCTGAGGCCGGCGCACTGTGGCCGGCACACCGCGCTGATCCAAAGCCAGGAGCCAGGTGCTTTTCCTGGTCTCCCATGGGGTGCAGGGCCCAAGGACTTGGGCCATCCTCCACTGCCTTCCCAGGCCAGAGCAGAGAGCTGGCCTGGAAGAGGGTCAACTGGGACAGAATCTGGCACTGTGACCAGGACTAGAACCCGGTGTGCCAGCGCCACGGCACCGTGACCGGTGTGCCAGCGCCGCAGGCGGAGGATTAGCCTATTGAGCCGCAGTGCCGGCAGGGATCTCCCTTATATCACCCATAAGTGACTAGAAATTGCTCTTTTAATATAAACATTATTTGTTTATTCCACATCACTTATACTTCAAAGACAAAACATTAAAATTAGGATGGCTTTTTAACAATCATTTTAGCATCGATGTATGTATGAACTGTAAAATCCCAACTGCCTGAGAAGATAAGAGTGCAACATGCACACAGAATCAATATATTCCTTACTTCATGCTAATAACACAACATCAGCTAACAGTTACATAAAGTCAAAAATATTTTTGAGAAAAGTAATAACTTTGAGAGCTTGGACCTTCCAAGTCTTTGTAAATAAAATAAATGACATAAGAACTACTGCTATACAGCTATAAAATTATATGAAATCTCTATGCAGTAGTGATCCCAAGGGTCATTTTATATTCACCAAAGTACGAAGGCCCCATTGATCTAGCCCATGAAAGAAATCACAAGAAGACGAAAAATAACTCATTTTTACAAATTAGGGACCCACATAACCCATGGTTATAGTTCTGTGACAACAAATGGAATTGATCAAATGTGCAGATGACATGTATGTATGCATGGGGAAAATACCCATTCTAGTTTATTAGGCACTCATTTACCTCTTTCGGTGCAGGTGGTGGTGGTGGAGGAGGATCCTTGATAACCTGTCAAAAAAAAAAAAAATTGTAAAGGCTTTCATGGCATAGGGAGAAGAAAATAAGGGTTTATAAAAATAATCAACTAGATAAATACCAGGGAGGCTCCAAAAATGCCCCCCAATGAAACTTCACCTTGCAAAAACGTATGCTTCTTTCTTTGATACGGACTTGCCTGTAACCAGCTTTGACCAACAGAACGAGGTAGAAACGCTATCACTGCCTGCTGAGGCTAGGTCACAAGCAGCTCTTCAGTTTCCCCCGAGACTCCTGGAACATGCATGCTGGGGGGATCCTGCTGCCTGGCAGAAGTCTGCTCAGAAACCCACGCTGTGAGGAAGCCCAGCACAATCTCACAGAAGGCTGGTGCGGTAACAGACACTTGCTAGCCCTCTGCTGGCCCAGCTGAAAAGCCAGACACGTGAGGGAAGAATCCAAGCTTCTGGACATCCAGTGACACGGAGCTTTCACATGGCTCGGCCAGTCTGACACCTGACTGCCGTCGGCTGAGGTTCTGATGGAGAATCTCCTGGCTGAGCAGGTCTTATCCACAGAAGTATAATGATATTCAATTGTTGGTTGAGGCTATTTGTAAAAAGTCAATTTTAGCCAATGCTCCTTTCATTTCTCATTAAATAGCACATGTGTTAAATCTTCATGTGAGAGGAAAGAGACCTAAGGCCCAATCTGAAATGGCCTTTCCTGATACTAGGATATAAGTCTTTCACTCCATCATAATAGAAAGTCTTTGCCAAGTGCCAACATCTTGGGATACTTCAGGTGTGCAACCAAGTCTCTATGCTAAGAGGCAAAACTACTTGAAAATGTAATTGTTTCAATTTATCTATTGTGAAATATTTTGATTATGTTACTTCAAAGGTTTAAACAATAATGACTCAAAATGAAGTAGTTTCTACCTCATCAAGGAACTATTATGACTGTTTAGTGTATTACTCTTACAATGGATTAAAAGCAGCTAATCTGTTAAAAGTCTACACAAATATTTCCAAGTAAAATTATATGACTCTGATATTTTCATAAAACAATTTGGAGTAGAGGAACTGAAAGGAGTTATAGATGAAATAAAATTAAAAATCAGTTCAGAATCATTGAAGCTAAATGATCAGACATGAGGATTCATTATGTTAGTCTTTCTTTTTGTAAGTGTTTTAAATTTTTCACAATGAAAGGATGTTAAGTTTCAATAATATTGTTAATGTTTAGAGAACTGACCAACAATTTCCTGTAGGTATATATAACATTTTCATCATTCAAATTTTAGTTTAAATCTAAACTTCAGGAAAAAATATACACAGTAACTATAACACCACAGATACAACTGAGCAGTAATATAAATGGATTGATTCTCTATCTGAATGCTACAAGAAATGTCATCATTTCTATTAACTCTTTGATTTAATTCAACTTTATCAATTAACATAAAATCCTAGTACTTTCAGGTCACATTGAAGAATAAAAATCTGTAATTTTTATAGTTAGTTTAGAATGAATGCCAATGGAAGATTAAAATCTAAAATAGTGCTGTGGTAAAACATAATAAACTATGGTTACCAATATAGTTATATTTCCTTTATTTTATTTAAATTTTTTTACTTGACAGAGTGAGACAGTGAGAGAAAGAGACAGAAAGGCCTTTCTTCCATTGGTTCTATCTCCAAATGGCCGCTATGGCTGGCGCTGTGCTGATCTGAAGCCAGGAGCCAGGTGCTTCCTTCTGGTCTCCCACGTGGGTGCAGGGCCCAAGCACTTGGGCCATCCTGCACTGCACTCCCGGGCCACAGCAGAGAGCTGGACTGGAAGAGGGGCAACCGGGACTAGAACCCGGCGCCATATGGGATACCGGCGCCGCAGGTGGAAGATTAACCAAGTGAGCCACGGCTCTAGCCCTTCCTTTATTTTAAAAAAGGAAACACCTCATATCATTATCCACCTGAATGCTCAAATCAATGAATGAAAACTAGATCTGTCACCATGTCACTTAACAAGGTCAAAACCAACCCAGTTGTCTTCACTTAAAAGTAAAATTTCCATCTTATCTTCCCTAGTCTTTTTATTTTTTTTAAGTAAATCACTCTTCTAATTCACAATTTCTTTACCACTGCTAAAAGACTTTACCAAATAATGTCCATGCCCAACAGATCTCTGCCTCTCCCTCCCTTCCTCTCCAATCTTCCCAAAGCAAGATTCTCTTTCTATGCTTAGATATGTCTTTATTCTTCCTCAGCATTTGTCAGGTTGATACATTTACTATAGCTCCAAAAACCATAATTTCCACAAGAACAAGTTTTATATTTGCTTTGTTCCTCACTGAAGCCCTGCACCTAGTAGAGTGTCTGGAACAAACAAGACATTCAAGGAAGAAGGGCAGAGGAAGGAAGGAAGTTAGGAAGACAGGAAAAGGAGGTGGGAAAGGAGTAAAAGGAGGCAGGAACAAAGGGAGAAGAGAGGGGAGGGAAGAGGGGGACGAAGGAAGGAAACAGAATGAGAAGAAGGAAAAGAGGAAGGGAGAGAGGGAGGAAAAAACAAGAAAGGATAACTTTAGAAAGGATTTTTTTCCTGCCATCCTGTTACTATTTAAAATCATAAACTCAGGATACATAAAAGTATCTAGTTCAACAATTTTCATCTCTCAGAATGCAAACACAACCCAAATTTCAATATTCTGAAATATTCTCACCACGTTGTAGTCCAACTGTGTTTGAATTGCTGCAATAAAGGAAATTCACTACCTCACAAAGCAATTCATTCCACTGGCAAGGGACTCACATCATTTGAAAATTTTTCCCTCAAATGAAGCCAAAGCTTCCTTCTCTGTATCTTCCACTCTTTAGTCCTAATCCTAGAGTCTGGAAACACAGACACATGCACACACGCACATGCATACACACACAAACACACACACTGACACACACACACAATTTATCTTCCAGAAGAGAATAATTTCTATTTTTAATACTAGGATAATTACCATATAACTACTTTTGAGTCTACCCTTTGGAAGCTAAATACATCAACCATTACTCATGGGATGGTTCTGAGTTATTTAGTCATCTTGGTCAGTTTCTTTGGTATAAGATATTCACTTGGTTATAATTTCAAAGTGTGCCTTCCAGAACTGAAAATGGCATTTTAAGTATGCTCGAGCTATTTTCAGTAAATGAGCAGTACTCAGACAAAACAGATGTACCCGCTTCACTATTCAACCCCAATTCTAAGCACTTCAAATGATGATACATAGATAAATTGATTTGCAGTATATAATTACCATAGACTCTGTGGCTACATGCTCCACTCGCAGTTAAGTTAGACACTCAGCTCATTTCTTTATCTCTACCTCATGCTTCATTCTAACCTACGTAGCCAGGTCAATACTCCTCTAATAGAAACTTAATAAATCATTTCCCGATCAAAATGAATTAATGGTTACAATGCCCACAGTTTAAATCAATGCATTATTGAATTTTATTCAAAGGACCTTCCAAATTGATAGCCTCCACTATCAGTTTGGCAAATTCCCACACAGTGCTCTCTGGAGTTCTGTGACTAGGATTAAAATCAAGGTCCCTCTGCTCTACCAAGTCTGAGCATAATATATATGAACTCATTTTCACTGCATTGTGAGGGTTTCAAATTTACTCTGCTTATTACCTGTACATGTTGCACTGGTATATAAATTTCTGAAGACATAAATAGTTTCCCTAACTTCTTTTCTAATCATCTTCCATAACTCTTCCTTTTTATGTAATACTCTATCTTGTATGGTATCCAGCTTAGCATTGATATGGGAAAATTAAGTTTCAATTTTAAATCCTCATATGGCCACTGCTATCAAACTCACAAGAGGATCATAAGAGGTATCATTGTATTTTTTCTCTTTACCGGAGATCCTTTACCTAAAATGAGCTACAGGCTGGAAAACAAAAGCCCCTTTTTCAGTACAGCTTTGTGAGCCAGCTTTCATATTCTCATTGTTTAAAAGGCTCAGTGTGGTGTACCAGTCCCTCCACGGTTCAGCACTAACATTGATAAGCATTTATCTGCACCCACATGTACTGCAACCAGCCTGAGTACCTCTCCTCTTCCCCCAATACTCTGTGTCCATGCTAGGCTCCATTCACCCTTCCATCCACCACCTTTCTACAGCTTCATCTAAAAGCCGTAAAATTTCTAAAAACACACATTTCTTCCTGGGTGAACCATTCGGGATTCATTACCTGGGGTTTATATATTTATTGTGGAATTTTAAAATTATCCTTGGAAAGTTCAGTTTTCTAGAGGGCAATAATTATTTGTCCTTCTTTATCAATGGCATCAGTGACTAATAAAGTGCTCGGCAAACATCAGATACTAAAAATATAATTAAAGTGAAAGTAAAGGAACGATAAGGTTCACAAAGGATCATAGGTCTTCAAATTGATAAGTGAAATTTTGAGGAACAAATATAAAAACAAATGATAGAGACAAATTTCCATGAACCCAGGCATCAAATTTCTCTCTCAAACAACGAAGAATCAATAAACTCAATGGCAGAAGGGAAGTCATAAGATCACTAAAGTTTCTTCATTTTGAAAATAAATTGAATTAATTTTAGGTCCTTTCCAATAGGAAAATTCTAATAAAATTATAAAATACTTTTCACCATATTTCCACCAGGTCTTTTGCTTCTATGCCTTTCCATAATTATGACCTTATGTCTATTTGCACTTGTATTCACTGCATTCCAGAAAGGAACATTAGAATGTTTTCTTTTTTCTTTTTCATTTGACAGATAGACAGTGAGAGAGAGACAGAGAGAAAGGTCTTCCTTCCGTTGGTTCACCCCCCAAATGGCCGCTACAGCCAAAGCTGTGCCGATCCAAAGCCAGAAGCCAGGTGTTTCCTCCTAGTCTCCCATGTGGGTGCAGGGCCCAAGCACTTGGGCCATCCTCCACTGCCCTCCCGGGCCACAGCAGAGAGCTAGAATGGAAGAGGAGCAACCCGGACTAGAA